GTGGTGGTGCGCACAGTTCAGACCTTTGATCCCAGCACTTGGGAGGCAGAAAACAGGCAGAGCTCTCTGAGTTCAAGACCAGCCAATTCCACATAGTAAGACCCTGTCTCAAAAAAAACAACAAAGACAGTTTTGATGAGTGATTAAAAAATTATATCTGTATTTATTGAGAGAGAGAGAGAGGAGGTCAGAGGAATTAGTTCTGTTCTTCTACCATATGAGTTCCAGGGATCAAACTCAAACTTAAGTCATGAGGCTTGGTGGCAAGTGCCTTTTTGACCATCTTGCCAGCCCATTGTTGATTGTTACCTTTATATTAGCAAGCCTTTCCCACTAGAGCAGATTCCGTGCTACATGAAGCTGACATTCAGGTCTTTCCCACTCCAGCAGACTTCCTATTACGTGAAGCTGACATCAGCAGCTTCCCACTACAGAAGATTCCATATTGCATAAAGCTGACTCTGTCCCCACTCTTCACTCCTCAACCATCCATTTCCGTAGGCTGCTCCCGGCAGATCGGCTTCTCCTTCATACGACCCAAGCTCTGTGCCTTCTCTGGCCTGTATTACTGTGACTTCTGCCACCAAGACGATGCCTCAGTGATTCCAGCCAGGGTCATCCACAACTGGGACCTCACCAAGCGACCGGTAAGTCCGTAGGCCAGGCTGCCCTGGCCACACAGAGCTGCTCACTGATGGAGGGACATTCTCCCCTAGGCTGCTGCTGTTGGTCTATTTGGAGAACTTTGGCTATAGGGAAGCCCGGATCACCAGTTCAGGCCCTGAAATGTGGGTCTGAAAGTTTGGTGCCTATCTGCAGCCCTTGAACTCTGCCTTGGTTCCCAGTGGCCACCTGAGGACAGTACTTTGGAACTAACATAGCAGCAGAGCTGTTCAAGACACTGGCAGTAAGGTTGGTCAGGGCGGGCTGGAGAGATGGCTCGGAGGTTAAGAACACTGGTTGTTCTTCCAAAAGTCCTGAGTTCAACTCCCATCATCCACATGGTGGCTCATGACCATCTATCGTGAGATCTGGTCCCCCTTGTGTGCAGGAACATATGCAGCCAGAATGCTGTTTTAAATAAGAAACAAATCTTTTTTAAAAGGGAGGGTTTGGTCAGGGGGAAAGTCAGGGTGGAATAGGTTTGATACACTAATGGATGGATGGACTGACATACAGATGGCTGCGTAGCCAAATGGGCCAGCCAGCAAGCTGCAGCCCTTAGATAGTCGACCTTGCTTGTTATGATTCTCTAGGGCCAGCTGCACTTCGCTGCAACAGGAAAGGGAAAGTATTTTTCTAGGTCATACAGTGTGGTTATTGCTTGACACCTACAGCTTAGAGAAGCCCAAAGACAGGTCAAAATTGGGTGTCATTACTGAAGATAACCACTATTGAGGATTTTTTTAAATTTATTACAATTTATTTGCTTTGTATCCCAGCTGTGGCCCCCTCCCTCGTCTCCTCTCTCCTCCCAGTCCCGCCCTTCCTCCCTCTTCTCCCCCTTTCCTAGTCCACTGATAGGGGAGGTCGCTATTCAGTTTTTAACACTATTCAGTGTTTCAGCTGTAAAATGGCAATGCTAATTTTTAGAGTATTTTGGGAGATAGCCTTTCCTGTGTACTTGTTTACATAAGCATCTGGGCATTTTGTTTACTTAATATTCTATATTGGATACTTTTATTATTAATTATGTTAATGTGTATGCATATGCACAGTATGTGAGTCTGTTCTCTTCCGCCATGTGTGTCCTGGGGATTGAACTGGTTCATCAGGCTTGGAGGCAGAGACCTTACCTTCTGAGCCATCTTTTTTTGTTTGGATGGTTTTGGTTTTGGGTTTTTGGTTTTAGTTTTCCAATTTCTCTGTGCAGCCCTGGCTGTCCTTGAACTCATTCTGTAGACCAGGCTGACCTCAAACTCACAGAGATCTGCCTGCCTCTGCCTCCCCAGTGCTAGGGCTAAAGGCGTGTGCCACCACCATGGGCCTCTCCTGAGCCCTCTTGATGGCCCTCGGGCACCTTTATTATGTATAAAATACTTCTGAAGGAGATTGCTTGCTTGTGGTACCTCATAGTGCCTGTCAACAGTACCTTTCCTTCCTGGAAAACAGAAACACAAGGCTGTTTGCTTGTCAGAGCCTAAGACTGCAGAGTCTTGGCTTTGAATGTGCTCCACAGTGTAGGAATAGTGACTCTGAGGCAGTTTATCTCCTGGTCTCCACCCCTGCATTAAGTATTCAGCCATGCAGAGGAGAGTAAACCTCAAAACACAAAGATGCAAGGAGTCCTTTAACAGTAAGACAGCTCTCCTAGCCTGATACCTCTGTGGAGCTCCTCATTCACTGCTGTAGTCTTTATGCATCATCGTTTCCCTCACTGGGACATTGCAGTCCTGTTCTAGGTGCTTCTGGGACCAGGAAATAGCCACTCCTTCCTCACCAGTCACTGGCTTGGGAAAGACAGGAAAATTCAAAACAGAAGGCAGTTGGCCCAAGGATCTAGGACTCCATTGTTCGCTGCTATTGCGCTGGCTGACCCACTTGCATTGAGATCCAGCTGGCACCTGGCAGAACATCAGCCCAGGACCAAGTTTCTGCTTTTGCCTGGCTCTTTCATGCCCGCAGGATACGAACAGCCTCTAGGGAGCATGAAGCCCCGTGGCAGAGCTGGAGCAGCACACATTGCTGCAGGTTGTTACAACTAAGCCTCACCTAGGGCCAGAGGCGGAGTTGTGGGGAGAGCTGAGCTCAGCCTAGAGAGTAGCATTGACCACAGCCACCAGAGTTAGCCATTGGGCTTTGCTCAGGCTTGGGGGCTGTTACCTCAGAGCTCTGGCACATGGGAAATGAAATTATCTATGCTGGGGTGAAGGTGATAGCTGCTGGCTGTTGGGAGAGAGGAGGTCAGAGGTCTCTTCTGTCCCCAAGTATAGGGGCAGCTCTCCTGGGGATCCCATTATACATTCCCTGACCTTCAGGGACCAATGGGACGAGGGTAGGCTCTTCCACTGGAGTGCCAGCAGCTCCCATTTACTGAGGGTGTGCAGTATGCCAGGCCCGGTGCCAAAGCTTATGTCTTTTAGTCTAAACTTGAAATAATGTCATGAAGTGTGTTTTGATTTTCCTGAAGCAAACCTTACCACAGGGAAGAGAGTTTATGGCAGCTCCATGTGGAGAGACCATGCCTTCAGGCCTCTGCCATCCACAGGCTAGTTAGATAAGCCAATTTAGCTTCTCTGAGGCTATTTCCCTCATCTATGCGACAGGCACTGCCACTTCTCGCTGAGGATGGCCTTGAGGATGAGAGAATACAGAGGGATCACTCAGCTCTAGAGTGGAAAGTGCTGGCACTTGAGACCTGTTAGGCTGTCCTGAAGTGCTGGCAAGAGCTGAGGGCACTTGGGAATGTCATGGAGCTCTGTCTGTTCAGTAGCTTCCTGTAGCTGGAACTTGATGGCAGCGGAGTCACCTGGTTCCTGAGTTAGAGCGCAGGGGACAGCATGTTTCCTGTAGGCAGGAAAGGGGGGCTGGGAGGACAGGAAAGTGTGGGAAAAGTCTGTGAGGCCCACAGAGAGGGGATCCCTTCCTTGTCTCAGCATGGTCAGACTCACACAACAGGGTTTGAGAGTCAGACTGGTTTTGGATATTGACTTGACCATCCCCTGAGCTGTGTGATCTTGGTCAAGTGACCTCAGTTCTCTGACGTTATTGCCTGGTCCGTAACTTGAAGAAAGTCCCACTCAGTGTGGGTGGGCCGCATGCAGGTTTGGACTAGGGAACACAGCATCCAGCCAGAGGCCTTGGCTGAACAGGCGAGGGCTTCGTGGATTTTCCCAGGTCTGCCGGCAGGCCCTGAAGTTCCTGGCACAGATCCGGGCCCAGCCCCTTATCAACCTGCAGCTGGTGAACGCCTCCCTGTATGAGCACGTGGAACGCATGCACCTCATTGGCAGGAGCCGGGAGCAGCTGAAACTTCTGGGGGACTACCTGGGCCTGTGCCGAAGTGGCGCCCTGAAGGAGCTGAGCAAAAGGTGAGCACTCTCCATGTGCGCTCGCACATGTGAGCACACACTAGCCAAAGCCTGACAGTGTGTGCACTTGGGAGATGCCACAGCTAAGCTGGGAACTTCCCACTGGGCCGGGAAATCACTGCATCCTTTGAAGGTAGCTTGTGGTCTTGTTCATCCATATGGTCATTCATTTGTCTAACAAAAGTGTATTGAGAACACCTGTTCCAAGCGCCTGGAGAAACAGGTGAATACTGTACTGAGTGAGGCAGACCCAAGGCCTCCCTTCAGGAAGCCACTGATCTGGTGGGAGGCAGGTGAGCCCCAGCACCTCCAACCAGGGGCAGAATGTGGGGGAGAGGAAGAATGCTCCAGATGTACAGAGGAGACACATCTGACCTGAGGGCAGGAAGACACATCAGGAAGACTTCCTGAAGGGAGCAACTCCTGAAATGAGACCTGAAAAGTAAACAGAAGTTGAAGAGGGAAGGAGGAGAGGAAGAGGGTTGGCAAAGGAGTGGCATGCATGTCCATGGAAAGCTCAAGGAGAGTGCGCTTTGGCCAAAAAAGAAAAGGAAGTAGGCAGCGTGGTGAAGGGCAGAACAGAAGGAGGCTAGCCTGGCACATCCCTTGGTTACTTGCTGTTATCCTTGGCAGCATTCTCTCCAGATCATGTACAGCATGTGCAATTGGCAGCACTCGGGAGACCCCTCTAGAAATTCCTTGCTATTCAGAGCCTGAGTCCTCTGGTACTCAAGGGATGGGGGGTGACTTGGACCTGAGGATAGTCTTACTCTCTGTGACTCTCTGTGACTGCCTCATGCACCACCAGGCCCTACACTCATGGCCAAAGATATGGTTCTTGAGAGGCAGTTCTCTCTGGGGGCCTTCAGGAGGGCAGGCCTGAAGATGCATTGCCCAGTATGGATTTCCTATCTGCTTTGCTGGATCTCTGGAGACCAGAGGTGCCTACAGACTGTCCTTCCCTAGGAGCTAGCACAGGGAACACTTTTTGAGCATGTCTCCCCAGGCCCAGGCATACTTCAATTCTCCCAGAGGTGGCCTGCACTGTGCCTTGAGGGTAGGTGTGTCCAGTGATGGTACCCTGGCTCTTGGGTAGGGCAGAGGGGAATGCTGGCCCTGTTCTGCCCCGAACAGCCAGTGAGCCCCCAGAGTTTTACCTCCTTCCATAGGCCTAGAAGAACAGACAGCCTTTTCGGGACTCTGCCACCTAATATCAGCCCAGTACCTGGGTCTCCTTTTCCCATGAAGCTGACCCATTTTTTTTCCTTTCAGAGATTCCATGGGCCAGAGCTCCAAAGAATTTGTGTTCCCCCCCAGAGTAAAATCTCTGTGTGGGAGAAAAGTCCACTGGCCTCTCTGGAGGCCTGAAGATCTGTGTAGATGGGTGACTATGGTGTGGCTTCTGGGTGCTGCCCCATTTGCTCTTCTTATCTGCTGATTTGTTTCCAAGCAGCCTTTGGTCGGTGCTCAGGCAGCCGTCTCCATCTCCCTGACTACTATCCTCACCTTGGCACAGGCCTACAAAACTATAAAACAGGCCTGTGGAACTCCTATCTTACTTAAATGTTATTTGTGTGTGTGTGTGTGTGTGTGTATGATATATGTGACAGGCCCATGAACATGAGTGAAGAGGCCAAAGGATTGTCCTGCTCACTGACTGACTTACTCATTGGAAACAGTCTTTCACTGGACCCAGAGCTTGCCATTCCTTGGCTAGACTGGTTGGCCAGTGCGTCCCAGTGCCCCTCCTATCTTTGTCCCTCACAGTGCTGGGATTGCAGCCACACCCAGCAATTTTACATCGGTACTGAGAGCCTAACTCAAGCCCTCATTTCTGTGCAGCAAGCACTCTTTCCCCCAGAAATTCCCTTTTAGAGGAACACAGAGCAAGAGAAAGTGTGGGAGCAGCTCCTGCCTGACCTAGACCACTGCATGGCTCCAGGAAGTATTGTTTGTGCCCGGAGCTTATTTACCCATCCATAAGATGGACCACTGGTCTTGGTTATATGGTCTTCCTGAGTTGTGCTGAGGGCCACATGAAGGGCTCACTGTCCTGAGGAAGGGTTCCCAAGGCAGCCTAGTAGGACCTTAGGAAGGCCAGGAAGCCGGGAAGGCCCCAGGAAGTTAATGTAGGAAGGCTGGCCAGAGAAGCATGGGGCTTAGATGAAACAGGTAAAAAACGCTGGCCACCCAGGCAAGTCTCCCAGATCACCTGGCCTTGGTAGACTCCCTTGGTTTCAGTTACCTTTGTTTCAGAGCACTGAGAGGGGTCTCCTCGTTGTATAGGTAGGGAAACGGGGGCCCAGGCCAATCTGTGCCCATCTCTCTGTATGCCCTTGACCAAGTCTTACAGAAAAATCAGTTGCAAGGCCACACTGAGAATGACAGGCCAAGGGTACAATGGCTCCCAAGGCAGGCCCTGGGCCTGCTGGCTCCTATGACCGGACAGAGGAAAGATGACAGGGAAAAATATCCATCAAACCAGCCCCACCCTTCCTGCCAACTAGGGACAGTCTTTGTACCCCCACCCCCGTTTTCCTGGCTGTAAATGGCAGCTTCCTGTTCCCAGAAAGCTAGAGACTCACTGGGGGCAAATTGGAGTCCTCAGCCACACAGTACAATGTAGCCAGCTTGGCTGTGTAAGTTTCACCATTCTAGCTCCAGATTGGGTTCCGAGGGGAATCAGAACTAAGGCGGTTGGTAGGGCATGGCCAGTATCCCAGGTGCCTGACACTGTCCTGTCCCTAGATGTCCCGAGTGTCCAGACAAGACCCCACACTTCCCCTCACATTAGTATCCACACAGGTGGTCAGTCAGGTTCTGTGCCAGGGATTTTCTCCAAGTGTTTTCTCTCCATCCCTGAGGATGTGACCCAGGGTCCCTGCCACTGGCCCTGGGCAGGGCTGTTGTCCTGTCTTCATCTTTTGCTCCTCAACCCTGAAATAAGATCTGCTTTGCCTAGAGTATGAATCAGTTCCTCTCTCAGATCAGGGAAACTAGATTCTTGACCATGACTGGGTAGGGGTGGAGGGATGGGTGGTTGTGGGGCAGCAACTACATCCATGTTTTTCTGTCCCCAGAACTGTTCTAATGGTGGCACTGACTCAGTGTGGGGGGATAGGGATACAGATACAGGCCAGACTCCTATGCTCAAGCTATAGCTCAGATTCTTAACTCTGTGACCTCAGGCAAGTCATTTAACCTGTGTTTCCTGTCTTCTCAAGATGGGAGTTAAAATCTGGACCGGCTTCACAGGATTACCGCAAAGACTAGATACTTAGCCCAGTTCCTGGTACCAAGTGTCAGCGCACATCACCCTCATGCCCATGGCTCGTTAGTCATGTGATTACGGTGTCCTGATGAGTTCAGTGGATTATTTAACCCTCAAAACAACCCATGTCTCAACAGGAGGCTGCCTGAGGTTGAGGGTTCCTTGGCTTGCCCCAGGCACTGGGGGCTAACCAGTGTTCCAGGGAGCTTGGGCGGGAGCCCTTGGCCTGCCGGGTAACCCAGACCTGTGTTGCTGGCTGGTGGGCAAGGCTGGGGAGAAGAAAACCAGAAACCGGAGTCCTGACCGTGGAAGCCCTTCTAAGGAAGTGCTTGTGTTGTCTTTTCAGGCTGAGCCACAGGACCTATCTCTTGGAGTCCCCTCACAAATTCAGTGTTGCGGACCTCCAGCAGGTGAGCGTGCTGTGCTCCCCACCCCTAAATCTTGGACTCACTAGAAGGTTCTTAATCCTGAAGAAATCACAGAGAAGTTGCACCTGTAATTCACTCGGACCCTGTAGCAGTCTTCAGCAGTTCACCCTTCGGAATAGCCT